AAAAAATACACCCAAAAATTAGATATTACTTTTTCAAAACAATTATATCAAAAGTTTTTATTAGATATCTTCTATATCATGATATTTTATATAACAAAGATCTAGCAACATGTATTTGTCTAGATTACAGGTCTACAATTAAATGTAAAGTTCCTCAATTACTTTTGGATTTGATGAATAAATACTTAAATGCAAAATTTCGAAACAAACCAACTGTTGAAGAACTAGCTAATACATTGAATCAATTTTTGAACCTAGAAGATAGTAACTACAGGATGGTTATAGAATACACAAAACAGTGAAGTCTCAGAAAATTATTAGATAGTAAATATAGTAAATTAGATTGGGCTTCTATAGTTAATCAAAATATGTTTAGTTCTTACATTACTGATTTTGGTTTATATAGACCAGTATCACAAGACTTAAATTCTAAAAAACTTTTTAGTGTACTTCTATATATTGCTCAGAAGTACTGTATACAAACGAAAAGGAATATATTCAAAAATCAGATATTACTTTTTCAAAACAATTATATTAGAGATTTTTACTAAATATCTTTTATATCATAATATTCTATATAACAAAGATCTAGCAACACATATTTGTCTAGATTACAGGCCTATAGAAGTTTTTAAATTAATTTGAAACTGATGAATAAATACTTAGACGCAAAACTTCGAAACAGACCAACTGTTAAAGAACTAGCTAATACGTTGAGTCAATTTTTGAATCTAGAAGATGTAGGTAGTATTGTTAGCTGATCGACTAATAGTTGACCGGCTAAGTCGTCGGCTAAGTTGACGATTTAGCTAGCTAAGTTATTAAGGGGTAAATTCAGGGTACTACCATTTGGTTCATTTGATTGATAATTTATTGCGTATTGTATATGACAAGTTTCTACGCTCTTTATTAACGTTTACAAGTAACAAAGTTTTAATTTTACATTATAAGCCTGCAATTCATATACTACTGATTAAGTAAAAGTAATTTACTTTGCTTTACTTCATATAAGTAAATATTTTAGCAGCTATTAGATGGAAAAACTTTGCAGGTACTTATGAAAAGAGATTTCTTTTATGAACTTATATTTCTTAGTTCAAATAATACTTTGTTCTGTGAAGTAATATTTTATTAAACTATAATTATTTTATACTCAATATTTATAATGTATTTAATCTAAATAAAATAAAACTAAATAATTATTTTCTTTTAAAAATAATAGATCATGAATGATATCAGGATTTAAACGATTTCATTTATCAGTAATAACGTTATCTGTATTCGAAAAGAGTCTTTCGGATGGTACTGATGTAGCAGGAATAGATAAAAATCTATGAGCCTGTCTGTATAATAAAAGAAAAGCTGTTTTTTTTTCTCTTCACCATTGTAAAGGATCATAAAGATAATATTGTGGATGATTTAAAGGTAATACAGAAAGAGGAGTAAGTTGTGAATAAAGAGATATTTCTATATCAATTGGAGATGTAGAAGTTTGTAAAGATGAATTTTGATTGAAAAAATCTATAAATAAAGAAGTATTGTTAGAAAAAGAAGTAGTTGCTAGTATGTTAGAGGTTTCTAATAACTTGATTCAGGTTTTTAAATTTTGTTTGACATTTTC